GGGACCACACATCCCCCTGCAGAATACCTGGCGGAGTTTGCATTTCCCTTCAGCTGTGATTAGTGTAAACACCTCGCAGAGGGTCAGGTTGCCTTTCCAGGATAATCCTGSCCTGTCCCCTGGGCCTTCATTAGCCCCGTGTGCTCCGGCAGCAAATCCAGCCCGGCACGGCTCTGCTGCCTGGAGCTCTCCAAAATCTCTGTGAAAATGGAGGTGTTGGGGCTCTGATGCCACCGGCGGTGCCAGTGCTGGGCAATGAATGAAGGAATAAAACAAAACAGCGCTGGGCAGCTTCCCGGGCATCCCTGCCCCTCCCCTGTCATCCTGTCACCCCGGGCATCACTGCCCTGTCATCCTGCCAGCCTCACCCAGCTCTGTCCCCCTGGGCATCCCTCCTTTGTCACCCCGGGCATCCCTGCCCCTCCCCTGTCATCCTGTCACCCTGGGCATCGCTCTCATGTCACCCTGCCACCCTCAGCCCTCCCCTGCCTCCGTGCCAGCCTCACCCAGCTCTGTCACCGCGGGCATCCCTCCCCTGTCACGCTGTCACCCTCAGCTCAGCCCTGCCTCCCTGCCAGCCTCATCCAGCCCTGTCACCCTGGGCACCCTCTCCTGCCACCCCAGGAATCCCTCCCCTGCCTCCCTGTCACACTCAGCTCAGCCCTGCCTCCGTGTCAGCCTCACCCAGCTCTGTCACCCTGGGCATCCCTCCTTTGTCACCCTGGCATCCCTCCCCTGTCACCCTGCCACCCTCAGCCCTCCTCTGCCTCTCTGCCACCCTCACCCAGCTCTGCCACTGCGGGCATCCCTCCCCTGTCACGCTGGGCATCCCTCCTTGTCTCCCTGCCAGGCTCAGCCCTATCCTGTCACCCCAGGAATCCCTCCCCTGCCACTCTGGCATCCCTCCCGTCACCCTTCCACCCTCAGTTCCACCCTGTCACCCTGGCCATCCCTCCCCTGTCACCCCCGGGCATCCCTCCTCTGTCATCCTGCCACTCTCAGCCCTCCCCTGCGTCCCTGCCAGCCTCACCCAACCCTGTCACCGCGGGCATCCCTCCCCTGTCACGCTGGCCATCCTTCCTCTGTCACCCTGGGCATCCCTCTCCTGTCACCCCGGGCATCCCTCCTTGTCACCCTGCCAGGCTCAGCCCTATCCTGTCACCCCGGGCATCCTTCTCCTGTCACCCTGCCACCCTCAGGTCCGCCCTGCCTCCGTGCCAGCCTCACCCAGCTCTGGTCACCCTGGGCATCCCTCCCCTATAACCCTGGGCATCCCTCCCCTGTCACCCTGCCAGCCTCACCCAGCTCTGTCACCGTGGCCATCCCTCTCCTGTCACCCTGGATATCCCTCCCCTGCCTCTGTGCCACCTCCAGCTCCACCCTGTCACCCGCCCACTGAGCGGTTCAATATCCGCCCTCTCCTCCCAGTGACACCAGTGTCCCACTGGAATTGTCCCAGTGCAGGAGGGATGGCCCAGAGGGACTCTCTGCCGGGTTTTGGGGACTGTCCCATCTCCTGGCAGGGCTCTGCAGGCTCGGGCAGGGACTCGAGGAAGAGCAGGGAGGGGCAGTGGGGCACAGCGAGGGCACAAAAAACCCACATTGGGACCATTTTTATACCCCCTCACTGTCCCAAAGAGCAGCTCTCACACAGATCCAACAGAATCGCTGAGTTCCTCCCCAAATTCACATTCTGCTCCTCTCCCTGTCCCTCTGCCCCYTTTTCTGCAGTTTCATTCCTTTTCTCACTAAAAGGGATCCCTTTTTCACCCCCTCCCATTCCCCATGCAAAGCTCAGCCTCCATCCCCTGCCACACCTGGGGGATTTCCCAGCAAATTGTATTACTTTATTTGGTCAATTGGCCTACAAATTGATTTTCCTGTACAAATAATGAACATTTATGGTTATTTTCCCCAYAGACTGCTTTATTTCACGTGTAACAAAGACTGATTTCCTGCAGGTTTTGAGGCCTGAGCACACGAGCTGCAGTTTCTGTGACCTCTGGCTGATGGATGGCAAAGGGCTCCGAGCACAACCGGAGGGTTTGGGGTTGGTTTTTTGGGGTTTTTTTTTAACCCTGGTTACAGAGAGAGGCAGCAGCTCGAAGCAGATATTGGTACCAGAACGAGGAATTGTACAGAACAACAGGAATTAATTTTTAGAAGAGATTCAGTCCTGGGATCACGCAGCCCCAG